CATGTATGGTTATATGGAGAGATTATTGAAAAAGACATTTGCAAGAACTGGTAATGGAAACTGGCTAATCCCAGTGGGGTGCAGAAATTATTTGCTACTCACTGTGGCTTTTAGACTAACTTTATAAACTAGGATGTCATGGTGTTTGAATTCCTATCAGGTTGTAAAGATTTCTATCAGTGTGTTATTCTGTTTAATATCTCACTGTTGTTTATTCCGTTTTAGGGAACTTTCTACAATTCTTTTAAGTACAACAAGGAGAAAACATAAGCAAATAGTGAGTGTACAGAAGTAACAAAACCTAAATGTTTTATGCAGAAAAGATTCAACAAGTATCTCCCACCTACGAAGAACGAATCAAATTTTCACACTGTGACCTTGCAGTACGATTTTGGATCAAACCACATGTTTCTTTAACAAAAAAATAATTGCATTATACTATTTGCTCTGATCTGATGATGTGGAAATAAAATATTGAAAGGAATGTCGTTATTGTTTTCTTTATTCTTTGGATTTTGCCTAGCTGAATGGATTGAGAAAAAACAATAAAAGCTTTTATTCACAAAGCCATCACTACAGGATTAAAGAAACCTTATAGGCAAAACTTGTTGATATGAAATGATTAAGACCCAGAGTAATAACTGGGTTTCATACTTAGCACAAGATTTTAGAAGTAGAGAAGGAAAATACAGCCACACAAATCCTGTTATTCTCATTGGACTATATGATTAAACTGCTGTTATAATACTGAAAAGGTACATCTGTGCTGTAGTACAGCTGCTTGGATGTGAATCAGGGGTCCAGTGCTTTCATTCTTCCTGGTGTTGAACAGCATTTTAGTTTGCCAAGAGTTCTTTTGAAGCTGGCGATGCTGATCATGGCCAGTGGGAGAATGGCACAGTTGAACCGCATGTTAATGGAAGACAAATACTGCAAGTAATGCAGACTGATTAACAGGAAGTTTATTTGGCAAAGATATTTAAAGCATTAATTTTGCCATGACCAGTAGGTTCCTATTAAATCACAAAACAGATTCAAGTCCCACTGAAATCAAGGGAATTTTTCCTGTTGACTTCAGTGACATAAAGATTTGGACCTCCATTGGATTTATCTTCCAATTTAAGATAATTTTTCTGATGATTACTAAATGTTCCCCAGTGTTGATACATTAAAATGTGTTGCCAATTCAAATAGCGTTGTCTTGTACTGTAAAAACTAAAATAAAATATTTGTTTTGGCATCTTTGTAAGTGGAATTTTTGTCATGTGTTTAGAACTCATTCTGCACTGCTAGCTGCACGTAGGAAATGTTCCCTGTTCTTCTAAAAACATTTGTAGTACATGTTTAAGACATTAACTGTAACTTTATGGACTGGATTTAATGCTCAGTGGATTTTCACTACAGTACTGATCTAACTGTTAATTATTACCAATTGAAGACCTTCTGCACATCAGATTGTTGTTGCTTGTGAGGCTATCATTTTGTATTTAATGAAAAGATTGTCATTGATAATATGGTGTCAGAATTTTCAGTTGCTAGCCATGTGGTTTATTCCCTCTAACAGGAGAGCTTCTTGTGAGCTAATGCGAGCACCTTTTGGATTATTTCTTACTGAATTACTTCTTTTATTTGCTGACCATCTCTGCTCAAGATCAGTTAATTTCTAGCAGTGTACTTGGTGGTTCCTGTTAGTACCATGTTAGGTGTTGGTGTTCTTTGTGAACTAATTTATGAAGTGGATCCTTACACAAATGATGAAAAAAATTGGACTGCAGCTTATTTCAGTAATCTATATTTGTTTTTTACTGTATTCAGGACCATGATTTTCATCCCTAAATGGTTCATGATGCATCATGT